ACTATACCATTTCTATGAAAAGCTGCCGTTCCCCCATATAAAATACATGGAAAACTTTAAGCGCTCTGTAATATTTTTTGATTTCAAAACAAAAAATAGGGGTATATTTCATGGTATAGAACAACCCTAGGGGGAGAGCATAAAAATACCGGCTGTACTTTTTCACATGCATTTTTGAACCACCCTAATGTGCATACATATAGATATAAGCTTACTCGCAAAATTTTTACTTATTGTCTTACAACTCGCTTTGTGTTCTTATTGTTGTGCTCTCCGATGCATTGCGAATATGTCAAGCCTCAAGCAAATCTTTGAATTGAAGAGTGTATATTTAGTGGGAAATAATTTATTTACAATCGTATGTACGTACATATTTTGTTCGTTCGCCATGGTCATCATCAAAAGAAGACGGACCTCAACCGAAGCTATTTCGTGCCATTTAATCGTCGTTTTATTTCTACTTCGCAGGTTCCAAGCACAGGGCATTACACATGGCTGGGGGTTTGTGTTCTCATATTAGCTCACTTCCAAACGGATTTACCATCGATGCCCGAGGAATACTTGGAGTAAACACCGGAGGTCGTAAGCTGCTTATGCCGAATGCAAAATAATTGTTTTTGGTGTTAAAAAAATTTCGTCGGCTTCTCAACCCGAAGCCGTCCGCGATTTAACCAGAAAGTTAGATGACCTAGTGACATAGTAACCGATATGCAGAACAGACTTAAATTATGGAATGAACGCTTTTCCACTCTACTGAGTAGGTTCATCCCTGAAAGTAGGTAGAGAAGACGAGCACTAAGTGTTCATATAGTGCCGGAGAAGCAAAGTGTATACTGGCTGGGAACTTGAGAAAGGAGGGTCGGGAATTTGAAAGTCCGAAATTTGCAAGACGAAGAGAGAACTTCACGGGGAGCCTTATGCAAAATCGAGAATGGTTGTCATGATTCCTCCAGACGCATTCTTGCGTTGAGCCCACTTCCTTGGACTATGAGAAATAAAAACGGACTATGCGAAGTGAAGAGTTGCTACTTGTACAGCTTGCTTGAAACCCACTCCCATGAGAAACATCCTTCGTAGTCAAGCATGAGGGTTTCTCGGTCATTTCCGACCTGCTGGATAACCGTCGCCTAAAATGGGAAATAAACCTCTTCAAACCTGTACAGACGCAAAGGAGTTTGGGACGTCATGTAGGTGACTGGCTTCTATATTCGCAAATTTCGTTGGGATTAGTTGCATCCCCAGAGCTAGGAAGGTCGTCAGAGTGGCGTTTATCTCCGAGGACGGGGTCAGCTCTCAACTGTGAAGTCTATAGTGAAGCCAAAAGTAAACTTCCCGGATTAAGGATTATAGGGAACTCGCTCTGAGTTAGAACTGCCACGGCAGAGTGGGGCAGGGTGAACAAAACACAAAAGCATCTCGCAAAGTAGGTTAATTTCGCCTCTGGTCTGTATAGCGGTCATAAACGACTTGCTGGATGAGCTAGAGAAGGGAGGCTATTGGGCAATTGCCTATGCAGACGACGTAGCATTCATAATTAGAGGTAGATTTGTCTATGAAACCCTGGATGCTTAAATATCTCGGCGTATGCGCACTCTAAAATTCTTCCATATAATATATGCTCGAAATTTTTTTTATATGGAATAAAATAATAACACCATCCGCAAAAAACATTATCAAAAATTAACGCGAATTATCCGCCACGCAGTTTGAGCAAGAATTTAATCGGCTATAAAACTGCTTAATTAGATTTTTCTAAAAATTCTTAGTGAAAGGGTTGTTGCTGTTTAAAATTTAGTTGAATTTTTCACGATTTTCTACAAAGTTTGAAATTTGGACTTATATGACTATTGTTAGATATTGAGCCAGATTTTTATAAAAAATAATAAACATTTAACAATGAAAATAAAAATAGCCGAAACTGGTCAAAATATCGCATCTCTATTATTTTTCCCATGACTGTATATGTCTATCCGTAAAAGACCTTTGATTAAAAAATCAAAGAAGCCTCTTGTTACAGTTTCTTTATTAAGTGTACCATTCACTGATGACTGCGTAGCTTATTAAATCCTTGTTATTTTGTTTATGTTTTGATTCACTTATTTTTTTATCGACTGTGTATGTATATGCGTAGGCGTTTTATAATGTACTGGGACAAACACTTCTACAAACATGCATTAATAACCTATGAGTGTACACAGTGTATCGAGCATAAACGAAAAATGCTTATTCACATAATTGCTTTCAGATGTACATACGTACATATGTAAATACATACATACCTATGTGTGAATGCCTAAATACCTACTTAAGCATTTAATTTCAGTAAACACAAAGCATGTTTACCCGTTATCGCTGGCATATCCGTGGATGGAATGAGGGAAATCACACAACCAAATATTTCCGAAATGCTTCGTGAAGTTAGAGAAAAAATTCGCTACATAAACTTTGTGTGTTTTATGTATGTATACATTAGGGTGCATCTGCATCCAGACAAAAAAAATCTGTACTGTTTTTTCCAACGGACATAAAAAATTTATTATACCTCCAAAAATTTATACCAAAATTTATAAAAAATAAAGAACACTTTAGCTGCTTTATAAATCGAAAATTTTTATGAAAATGTCACTTTATAGAGCTCTTTAAACCTATTTTATTTCCTATGAATAGTTATAATGAATTTTTTAGGCAAATATCACTTTTCAAAAAATTTATTTTTTTCCGCCGAAATACTACTGTGCGAGCCACGCCCACTATCCAAAAATGTATAATAATCAAATTTTATGCTAAGCGGTTATTGCAATCATCAATTTGAGGAGAATCAGGTTCAGTAGTTACTGATTTATCGCAGTTTTCGTGTTTCTGTAAATTCCCGTTATATGGTAGGTGGGCATGGTTATTGCCCGATTTCAAAGATTTTCAACAGATTTCGTAGCTAGACCTTTGCAAATAGTGGCGCAATTTAATCCAAAGTTACTCAAAAAGGAAACTTGCGCGTTCTAATAAGCCACCTTAAGCAGGGATCACACGATTTGTACATTTGTACAGATTTATACATTTTCACCGTTACAGAGTGGTATTATTTGGAAAGTTGTTATTGACCTGAACTCATTATCGATAATAAGGTCGGTGTTATGCAGACAAACTTTTGTTTGCCAAATTAAATGGCGGCTGCTTAGTTTGCTCGGAGGTGGTTATGTCGAGTTTGGCACAGGGTTGCACGTTCATTATGGTTTTCATGGCTATTGCCAACACGAAATGAGAATTTCAGATGTACATAACGCGCAAAATTTAAAATTTTTTTATATGACAACACCGAATTTGCTGCAGTTTGACCAAACAAAATTAGTTTTCTGTGAGAGTCGCCAAACTCGCTCTCTCCGAGTTTGCTGCAACAACAATTGCACGCAGTTTGCCAAACAAAATTTTTGCATAACACCGACCTAATTTCTAGACAACACCACTCTGTGGCTGCCAAATGTGTAAATATACAAATCGTGTGATCCCTGCTTAAGTGAATTAATAAGTGTGAAGTGTCTTTAAGCATCGATGTTTACAAAGAAACGGAATCAAATTTCTTGGTTGTTTATAACATTGCTTCATTAGCGTAGCTGTACATACATATGTACGTATGTATGTATAGTATTAAATCGGCAGGAGGCGCTGAAGTAATTTGACCATATATGTGTATGTATAAAAAAATAAATATTTCGGTCTCACATTTTTGTTAAGCTTCATCAGCTCCAATTTGTGTTACGATTCTTGCTGTTGTTACACAAAATAGCGCTGGCTTTTTATGAGCAGCTTTTGCATGTGAAATTCAATCCCGCTCGTTGGGCATCCATATAATATTCCATATAAAGTTCGACGAACTTATAATTTAAAGTAGAACTTAACTTTTTAAGCAGGTGACTGGTTTCAACCCTCGTCAAAAATATTTTTCAGATTTTTTGTAAAGCCTCTCCTGTTTGTGACCCATATTCAAATATTTTATTTAACTTACTGATCAAATTTATTTTAAATTTCTATACAGCTCCCTTCAGAAATATTTTTGTAATAAAGCTTATACATACCTATCTCGTTTTGTACCCGTAATAAAATATTGCCTTTAAGTTGTTAATTAATGTTATTTTTTGAGAAGGTGGCAACCCACTTAAAAAATATTTTCGAAATAAATCGTTTTTAACCCCTTTCGTTTGTCAACCAAATTGTTGTGAACCGAAAAAAAAATAACCCTATTTATTCACTTGGAAATCAAAAAGATTTAGAGGCCGTTCAAAATTTTCAATGTATTTTATAATGGGGAAAAAACAACCTTTCGTAGAAATGGTATGGAATTCTTGAAAACTTGTAATTTTCCATCGATTCTATTTAGGAGACAATTTTTTAAAACTAACGATGGCATTTTCAGGAGGTTTGGGCGGACCTATGAAATAAAGTTACTATTGAAAAAGAGGTTAAATAAACAAGTGGGTATTATTACTGGCAGTCTTCTGAAGAGCAACCGAGCTTTTCGATCGAAAAGTATTTATTTTCAAGAATTATATATAATTTCTGGAAACATGATAAACTTTGAGCACTTTGAGCGACCTCTAAATAATGTTTGATTTCAAAATAAAATAAATAGGGATATTTTTTCGGTATAGAATAATCCAAGGGGGGCGACAGCATTAAAATTCCGACTTAAATTTTCCACATGCATTTTTGGACCTACCTAATGTACATACATACATACATAAACGTACTCACCATGCAAATTAATTATCCAAAGGCTAATTGCATTTTGGATATTCATTGTATTTTAAACATTTTAATTTTATTTCAAAAATATTGAGTTACATACATATTTCTTAAGTTTTTAAGTTTAAAAATTAATATTACATACTACAAATTATGAAAGAGAAAATCCATCCTTCTGTTTCTTTACCACTTCATTTTTTCTTTTAAATTTGCAAACGCTGCATTCTTTTAACTCCCCGAGTTCTCTGTTTTTTTTTTTTTTGTAATAAAAATCCGCTCAGGATTGATAGGTTCCCAGAAAAGTGCCGCACATCGGGCAGAAGTGATTTGCATTTCGGCACGTATCCATACAGTATGGTAGACAACAACAAATGCTATATTCATAGGGACAAAGAAAATAAAAAGAGTAAATTTAAGCATAAATTTAAGACATACAAGCATACATATGTACTACTATACTTTTGTACATATTTTTAACATAGAAAACTCCCACCTGCCAATTTTTCCGAAATTGAATTAGGCTGCTAGTAAAATTTGCAATATTTTTATATTTATACATAACTAAATTTCGAAAAAATATCCAGTTATGAGTTTTCAATGTTTGACCATCGATATATAACTATTTTATGATTTACACACTTACCAAGACCACGAGAGCAACAAACATGCCAGATGCGTCTTGGTGGTCGAGCGATGTCGAACCTTCGTCTCCACCATACACTTGCACTGTGGGCAACGCAATTTGGTGGATTTTGGACCCACTGGCGGATTGGGATTTGTATAGATGGGTGTGTAGGTTGGTATGGGCTCTGTTATATGCAGAGGCACAGCGCTAGCTGCAGTAGGCCTTGCGGCTACATTTTCGGATTGGATATAAGCCGGCGGCGGCGGTGCAGTACCGCCGTTAAAATTAGATTGAAGCAGTTCATTGTGCATTTCTGTATACGGTTGCTTATTAAAAGCCATTTTGAACACACAAAAAAATATGAAAAACAACAATTTAACGAAATGTTAAAATATCAAAACTTTTTAGCGTTACTTAGCAAGCGCAGTCCTGAAACTCCCGATAAGTACTAATTCGTAGTTGATGCCGGTTTACTCTGCGCCACTCTGATGTTTGCCTGCTAGCAGAGTTTTCAGTGGATCTGAAATTATGTACATATTTCAATACAGTTGGTTTAGTTTTTCAAGCGGAGTACACATCCACAGTAATTGCAACCTGTGTGCGGACTTCACTCCAATCGTGTTAAAGTTTCAAAAAAATATTATATTTTTTATGTAATATCATGTGAGCCATGTAAATAATAAAAAAACATATACAAAATTATTTTAATAAAATATATAAAAAAATAAAAACTATTGCGACTTTCGTTCTTGGAAATTTTCGTGCTTCCAAAAGCATTGAGCCATTATTTTCAGGCCCAATAGTCAGCGTGTGTGCTTCTGAATTAAGCGAACATTTCAACAGATGGTTCCCAATCGCTACTTTTTAACATAAAAATTAATTTTGACAATTTAGAATTTTTTTGAAAAAATAATAAGCAATTTTTGACACTTAAAGGAAAAATAATTCAAAAAAATCAGCTGCTCGACCCCATTAAGCTGGCATTTCAGGGTACTATTTTACATATATATTAGTGGGGGAGGGCTCGAGCACCCCCCATGCCCCTACCTGGCTACGCCCATGTTCAGAGCTCTATAAAAAAGTGCTGCGCGCAATAGTGTAGCAGAAATAATTTTTCTTAAATGAATCCATAATAAAAACATAGTGGGGTTAAATAAAATGTACATAAATCTGAGTAAAAATTTATTTGCCCCATTTTCGAACATACCACAAGAATTCCTTTGCATTACCTCTAATAGCTTTAAACATTTTGACTTATAATGTTTGGTAGTGAAAAATTCACAAAAATTTCCTTTTGTTTGTTAAGATAAAGGTGGCTTGATATACATACATGTTTCACCAGAAATTAGTAGTTGCTACTTTTTTAGGCATTAACAAAAAGTTGAACGCTTTACTTATTCGGCTTCCATTCGGGCTTTTCGCAACTCATTTCGATCATTAAAACAAATTTATGATATTTTTTTGAACTCTGAATTGTCTGTAACAATTCTGAACTCTTCATATTTTTCTTCTCTTTTTTTTGAGACCTTCCGCGATTTTTCGTAACTTTTCTGGGCTTTGCGATCTTTTTTTCTAGGTTTAACCTTTGGTGTTCAAAACTGTAACTAAGTAGTAAGCTTACTTTTCTTATAGATTCGTACACAAAAATTAAAAATTTAAATTTTCAATGTAAATTTTGCTTTAGGTCAAAATTTTTAAGTAAAAAAGTTCGATTTATCCTTGGGTCCAAACTCTGGTAAACATGCACATTATATACAAATGTACATGCATGCATACATACATACATAACCACATATGCACATATTAAAGGTCTGCTTGAATCCATTTAAAACGTCAGGGTAAGTATTCGTGTTCAAAATCTGAGAGTTGTTCGAATGAAACGTAGAGACCGTACATCCGCCTCGGCGAGGAAAAGCGTTGCCATCCTTTTGAAAAGACCACTTAAATTAAATTATTCACAAGTTATATGAAATATTAAACTATGAACGTCAAACAAAAGACTCTTAGGAAATCTTAATATTTTTTCCCTTTGTTTTTATAAAGGAGCTTTTATAATAAGGAAAAATTATGTACTCAAATTTTATGGCCTTATACATAAAAAATAAAGTAGGTTCAAAGAGCTTTATAAATTGACGTTTTCATACATTTTCCAGTTTATAAACCTTTTATAAAGCTGCTTTATTTTTTATGGATAAGATCAATAGAATTCTCTGAACGATGGTAGGAATTTCTACCTACCCGACTAAAAAGGCATTTCAGCAGAAAATAAAATTTGGAACTTTTCTACTTTCGAAAACAAAAAGCTGCAATCTATTCACAGTGTTTTTAACTCATTAGACTTCATTTTTCTAAACTCCCCAAAACCAAAAAAAAAAAAAAATATTGAAGAACATAATGAAAAATCCGCGTTGGCAAACTATTAGGAAAATAATGAAAAATAGTCTTTGTAAAACATCAATTAAATAACTGGCTTACTTCAGCTTAATGTTGTTCTTACTTCGCAATGTTGTTCATATTTTTTACGGTTTTTGTTTTAGTACTACTCCCTATTCAATATTATTTTTTTTCAGTTTTAAGACATTTCTGCAAATTTTGTAATTATTTTTTTGGTAAACGATTTTTTAATGTTTACTTTTAAAACTGTAGAGCTGGTTGCTTTAAAAGCGTTCAAGCCTGCCTTCTTTCAGCGCAAACTGATAGCCGGCGTATAGAATTATCGCTTATTAAGCCAAATAATATTTGTGTGCATATGAGCTTTAGGGTGGTCCATAAAAGTTTATAATGTTAAACTCTCACTCGTAGGGACTTTTCTAAATGGAAAAAAATAATACCTTTTTTTAAATGATGTTTAGAACTTTGCCATCAAACAATGTCTGCGTTTAAAATCTTAACACATCTTTTTAACTTTCCAAACTGAACATTAAAGCTGTACTTGCGTACATACATATGTACATGTATATCCCAGCTTCGAGTGAAATTTGTACAATGCTACTTTTTACGAATAGTTACATCTTAATACAGGAAGGACAGATTAAAAATGCTCCCTTTGCAAAAATACAGAATTACAAAAATCCAAATAAATCTCAGAAAATCCACTAAATTCAACAGAATACGAAAAATATCCATTAACTTCAAACTCTACTGACTCGTATGAAGTTACATGTTTAGCTTTGAATACGCAAACATTTTGTTATCGAAGTTTTTCAAAATATTTGAAGAAAATGAGAAAATGCGTTTAATAAAAAATTCGCTTTTATCTCCTGTAAAATTTAAAAAACTGCACTTAGAAAATATGTGCTGAAATTGTGTATGTATGTAAGAACTATCCGTTTTCCTTCTTTGCAGATGACGAATAAATATATACATATATAACTGTAAAAGCTAAGTTACACTCGGCGACAAAGAATGAACTATATTTTCATAAATAAATAATGCAAAAAATTGTTCATGAAAATAATTGTGAATGTGTGCACTTTAATTTGTCGCCTAGTGTATATTCTCGCTTCTATTTATCAACAACAGTTTCGTAGCATACATATTTATGTATGTACATAACTTTTACTATACAAAATGTATAGGAAGCTTAAAATAGCTTTTTCGGCGGGCAAGGCAGTGCCCATCAGTGGTCTACAGCTTCTAAACTAAGCTTTCAAACAAAACTCAACTTCTGGTACGGAACTGAGCTACATACATATGTAAGTGGCGAGAGCTTTGATCGCGACTGCTGCAATCAAATAAGCTAAGCTTCAAACAGCTTGCGATCAGTATATTACAAGTACACTCGTATGCAGCAGTGCAGATTTTTAAAAGGAAATGAATGTGCCAAATTTTACCCAAAACATACATACATAACGAATGTATCTGACATACGAATTTCATATAGTTCAATTTATAGCCTCGGGCTTTATCCCACGTTCAGTGATTTCATATCTCCATACCAAGCTCCAGTACTCCACCATAAATGCAAAGATATGCGCTATGAAAAATTCCGTTTGTATGAAAGTGCCGCCCCCCTTGATATATTGAAATTTTTTTTAACTATGACCATCTTTAGGATGTCTGCAGCGGGCGTGACAAAATTTGGTATGATCGGTAAAGCGGTTTAGGATGCAACTTCGTGCATACATAGACACATACATAATTTGATTTTTATATACATACATTGGCAATTCCATGGTAACTTACGTACATTCGAGACACGATTTTTGTGGAATTTGATGATTTTAAGAACCAAAATTGAGATACGAATCAATCTCCGAAGAAAAATTTGGTAAAAATTCTGTATCGTCATAAGCAAAGTTCGACTTTAAAGAATCCGCAAATAAATTTAGCAACATCTGATGGAATAACGGCAAACCTTTCCTCCAAGAATATTGACGTACATAGGTATACCGGAGTACGATCGTTTCGATTTAATGTAGTTCCAGAAATATTTAGGTTTCGTTTTAATGTTTAATTCAGTATTACGAATGTATTTATTATAAAGGATTTTATTGAAGTGATTAAATTCCTTTAAATAATGTAGGCCTTTGAAAAAAACGTGTGATTTTTTGGTAAACTTGAACCTTTTGTAGAATTGGTTTTTTAAATTCTTAAGCCTTTTAAGCGCTTTTGTGTGTCAAGGTATTTTATATGACATACTTTTAACTTTTTTAAGAAAAATTTAGTAAAAACATACCTCCAGAAGCCAAAATTTAAAATTAGAATAAAAACCCGAAATGTTTTCACCAAACAACAAATTAGCCCAGTTTATATCACCAAGAGAGTTATTTAGCAGTGAAAAATCGCAATGCAGGTAACTACATTTTTTTCTTGTATTATCACTTTCTGAAATTGAATATTTTTAATGAATCTGTCATTCAAAAATGTTCGGAGCTAGTCAATCATAAAATAATTGTATTCCATCACCA